TTAGGAATGGTTATATGGCAAATTGTCACAAATCGTATGTATTCCTTTTGATAAAGTGTGATGATATTGACTTAGCATCATATATATATATGGGTCATCGCCCAGAGATTATTTCTGAATTACCTTCAGATTATAAAGATATGATGGAAAGGCCTAACGCTTCAGAGGTTGCAAAATTTGCCACCAATACTCTGGAAAAATTATATAATGGTGAAATCATTATTCCAGCATAAGCTTACGGTTATTGCGGTAACATAGTATGTATTGAAATTACATGTATGGTCACGATTTCAGCATTATATTAATTATACTTCTTTACTTTCGGTACTATTAACAATTATACTTTATTACTTTCGGCTTTATTTTAACATTTATTATTATAACGTTAATACCGGTATGGCTTTAGGCATTGGTCATAAGTTGTTGCATTGATCATAAGTTGCGGCGTGAATTTTTAGATTTAGGCATTGCCGCATTACAAAATTAGAAATTCTTAAAAAATAGGCCCACATTATGGTAAAATTGCCCAGGAAAAATTTTCACTTACCGTATTTTCGCGAAATAACGGGCATGGGCGTTAATTCGAAAATTGTGCTCCCTAAAATAGTATGCGATGTCTCAAAATAACGCCCATGCGCGTCCCTAAATAACGTGCACTCCATATGAAATAAATTATATATAACGCACATGGACATTATTTGGAAAATCAGGTTAATCAAAAAATCAACCTTTGTTTCAAAATAACGCCCATGCGCGTACTCAAAATAACGCGCAGGTGGGTGTTATTTCGCGAAAATACGGTAATAGGCGGATACGATTTCATTGGGGTAATTCCTGTAGTTTTTAACGAATTTGAAATTAAAATCACGTGATATATATAAATTACTACCAGGCTTGAGGCTGTGCGTACTACAATATGTAGTTAAGGTTTATTGTTTGAATTGGTATTATCGTGATTATTACAAAAACAATTGTTACTGAATTTTGATTGTGATGACATTCTTGATAATAACTTGCTTATATACGTATTAGTCTTAACATTTTGATCAACCAATTACACTGGCTTCATTGCTGAGTTATGTCCCGTTTGCGTTTCCCATGAGTATCTTCCGCCTTTATTAAGTTAGTGATTATTGCTTATTTGGAAAGTTATTCAAATCATACTCAACTCCTTTGATTATCCGATTCTGGTTGATGGTTTCATGAGGCGCATCATCATTTTTTGATCTGTTGACTCTACGTTATTGTCAGATAATCTGGGCAGCAAAAATTCTGGCCAAAAATTTTTAAATCCGTGAAAAAATTTAATTGACTTTTTTTTTAGCTTAAAATAGGTTGTAAATATCGATATTAGGTAATTAAACAGCAGAAACAATAAACGGTTTACGAAGAGAGTTGTTTAAGGCATTAAAATTAAATTTAATAATAATAATAAATCGCACAAAAAAATTGTCTATTCACTTTGATTTAACGTACGTACGTAAGGAATAAATTTTAACCTAAGGTGGAACGATGAGTGACACAGTTACACAAGATGTTTAATCAGATTATAAAAGTGATGCATTTTTTTCTTCATATTTAAATTTCTGTTTAAAATAAATAAGCGATCTAATTAATACAAGTGACCTAGTCTGCAGTGATGCATAAGCGATCTAATCGACACAAGCGATTTAATTAACACAACAAATTATACTTCTCATGGCATCAAAAATGCTTATGGGCGACATGCCCGAATTATTGGAAATTATTCTAAATAATTTAAAAGAAGATATTCATTCTTTATATTCATGTGCGCTTGTAAACCACTTTTGGAGCAAGATATCTATCCCTATTCTTTGGAGAGATCCATTTTCATTAAGTCAAAAATCAACATTATTTATATCTAGATACTTTTCATCACTCAATGAGCATGATAGTTTTATATTAGACAAATGTGGAATTATTATA